AAGTTTGAAGGCCTTCGGTATCTCAATCCTCGCAACATTGAGAACTCGGCATCACTGTTCGAGTACCTCTGCGTTGAAGATTGTCATAGCAGAAAAGGTCTGTTCTTACCAGTGACAATTGGATACAGGTCCGAGTCTTGGAATGATGTTTCCTGTACCAAGCGCCCATGAAAACTTAGCCAATCTGTCACTCCATGATCAAATAGGGCTTTGAAAACCCTATCGACTGACAGAGACCAACTGCCGCCACATACGCCGGAGAGGTGTGCAACCTGGGAGTTGTTGTATGTAAAATGGCACCTACGGGTTGACGTCTCGTTATTGCGTCCTCAGCTGAGTTAAGTAGATTATCCAAGTCTTCCCTGGAGTGGATCCTTCGGAATACTGGTGGCGGTACATTATTGGCTATAGTAGTGGAGCTATTCGCTGCTTGCTGAGCCTCACGAATGAGTTTCAGTTCGCTGAACACTCTCACTTCCAAGTTGTTTGGCCTCCGTACTACCCGGCTGAGGTAATTCTACAATTGTAGATACATTTGAGCACTTAAATTAAACAGTTTTTTTAAACTAAATATAATTTCAAGTAATTTCAGTACTCGGCGCGTTGGCAGCTCATGTTGTCTGTATTTGAGAAGAGCTTAAATTTTCAACTTTGCCCTGAATTGTTTAGTAATTTTGGTACGGAGCCTGAAAGCATGTGCTGCATTGGTTCGACAGGTCGCGCGCAGATGGTGAATTCTGCGATTTTTTGTGTGATGTTTTTGCGGCATTGGCCATTGGAGGGAAGGAAGAATGAGCTTCGGAATAACTGACCAGTCAGACGATAGCAAATAAAGGTCTATATAACAAGAACGCTCACGGTGAGGTGAAGGCACACAAATCCTTACATTTGCCGACGACAAACCACTACAGAGTCTCTTCCTCCCTTGCCCCATGGACGACCGTAAAGTGGATGAGGCCCTGGACGGCATCGTAAAACCAGCTGGATTTTGGCAATATATGGTCGTAATCCTTACTGCAATCTCGATTCCTGGCACAGCCATTATATCGGTCTTTACTAATTTTTTTCCCAAACATCGCTGCCGGCTAGAGCCCCAGATAGAGGACTGGCTACTCAGTACCTCGAGCACGCCAAATGCTACCCGCTGGGATATACGCAGCGTTGCTGAATTTTTTAGACCAAATTTATCCCATCCGACTGCCGTTAGCGCCTGTGAGGTTTACGCTGTGGACCGACTGCAAAATACAACCATTGAAAAACTGTTCCTCTACCAGAACCAGACCCTACCACTCGAGCGAGAGAAATGTCCCTTTGGTTTTGTCTACGAATATGACTGGTAACAATTCCCCGGAGGTCTGGTCGAAGAGTGGGATCTGGTCTGTGATCGCGCCTGGGAGGTACCTTTCAACGAGAGCATTTATATGTTGGGCATGTTGATTGGCTACCTGGTTGGTGGCTGGTTCGGCGACCAATTTGGTCGAAGGCGTGTAATCCTCGCTTCGGGTGTGGCTGAATTTGTCATCGAATTGTTAATCTGCTTCTCTGCCAATCACACACAGTACATCATTCTGCGTATTCTTGTCGCTATATGCGTGACAACACGTTTCTCTGCCCTTACAGTCCTGATAACGGAAATAACTACTGCCAAGTATCGATCACTGATCTCGGCGGTTTCTTCCATTATCCAGACGACCTTCCAGCGTACCTTCTTGGCGGTTGTAGCCCTGTACGTGACGAATTGGCGGTGGTTAAATGTCTCATTGGTGGCGACGAATACTCTTATCTTCATCATGTTCTTCCTTCTGCCAGAGTCTCCGAAGTGGCTTGTTGCCCGTGCACGATACAGAGATGCCGGAGATGTCCTGTATCGTGGGTACCGAATTAACGCATACGTCAGAAACATGTTTACGTCTGTGTCAAAACGGAGTCCGCTTGTGAGTCGAAAAGACTTCTTCGCCCTGATTGGCATTCCTGACGAACCGATGAAGGAAAAGTCTGCCGAGCAGGACGTTGTTGGATCTGGACAGCCCACCAGACCAGCGGGGAAATGCACCGTCTTTGAGCTCTTTAATCGTAAGATGGTGGCTACGACCTTACTCTGTACAATCCTCATTGCTGGTAACATAACCTGTGTGTTTGGCTTAGTCTTATATTCGGCAAATATTCGTCTCTACACCTCCTATGTACTCATGATTAACGCTGTCGCGTCCATCCCGGGATGCCTGCAGTTCGCTGGTCTTTATCGCTGTTTTCGCTATCGTAAGAGACCCTTGATGGTTGTTTACCTCAGTACAGCAGTCGTTCTCTGGATCGCTGCTTTGTACACAGTCATTTCACAACCTGACAACGACATTGCACTTAATGTCCTGATGGCAGTTGGTACAATGCTGTTGACCACCGCGTCACGAATGGTATTTGTCTATGTGCCTGAGCTATACAGTCCGGTCTACAGGAACCGTGGACTGGGAGTGTGTGCTGGTTTTGCCAGGATGGGCATATTCTGGTTTCCCCTCATAAATCGTCTTGACTCCAGTGTCAGACACGGTTTTCCACTGATAATATATGCTGGAATTATTACCATCCCGATGGTTCTCCTCTGTTTCCTCAGGGACACCAACGGGGAGGCCTCGGCGACAGCAAGTACACCAAACGACGAAGTCAAGGACAGTCAGCTGACCGAGCCCCCGGAGTCCTCAAAGGACTGTTAGAAGCTCGCAGCTACTTCGTAGTTAGTCGTTTGCGCGGCAACCGCATTTTTCCTGCGAGTATACTCTTACGTGATGAATAAAGTTTTTTTACATTGCGCAATAGTCTTTTTGTTTATCCAGCCT